AGAGAACACCGCCGCAGCCAATCAGCGCGCGGCCACGCCCCCTTACGTCTGCCGTCACTCCTGCGCGCCGCGCGGGGCAGCACGGGAGTTGTAGTCCTTGCGGCGGATCAGAGCGGCCATTTGCACGTGAACGGAGTGAGGATAATACTTTTTTGGTTTTATTGTTTTTCTGTCTTTTCCATCTGTTTTCTCTTTATTTTTCCTTTTCTTTTTTCTTTCTCCTTCCTTTTTTCCTCTTTTTTCTTTTTTCGTTCTCGTTTTCTTTTTTCTCTTTTTTCTTGTTTGTTTCTTTTTTATTATTTGTCTCATTTTTTCCTGTTTTTCTGTCTTTTTTTTTCCTCTTTTTTCTCCTTTTTCTCTTTTTCCTCCCTTTTTTTCTTCGTATGGCCTTTTTGTCTTTTTTTTTCTTTTTCCTTTTTTTTTTTACATTGTTTTCTATCAATGGTGTTTTCAAGGAAGATTTAAACACAGATCAAAACAATCTCCAGGTACAAATCTCATGACAACAGATAATCTACCATTGTTCCTGGTCCAAGAGGATTCCCAAGATCACAAACACTGAGATGTGAAGGGTACCCACACAAAAAACAGCTTTTCCTGCTTTTTTCCACAGGTAAAGCAAGTGTGGAAGGGGCACTTGGCCCCAGGCAAGATGCTTTTACAGCCACTTTAGGCAGCCCAGAGTGGATCTGGCTGGGAAATGGGATTATGATTATGCTTTCAGGGACTATTTCCACAGTACATTGAGGGAAAACATTGAGGGCCATTTCTTCATCTCCTGAAGGGATGAGAAGAGGGGGGAGCAGGTGCTGTGGCCCCAGAGCTTCTCTCTGCTTTGGGGACACTTCTGTGTTTTCCTCTGTCCATTGAATTCCCAACAAAGAATCCAAAAAGCTACAAGAACTCCAGTCTGGAGTGCTCAGGACATGTGGAAGCAGGGGAATTTTTCTTCCCAGCTGGGATTGAGAGTGCAATTTCACACTCCTTTGGAGAGCATTAACTAAGACATCCCATTTCTGCCCAGGGATCTTCCAGGGGGAACTCAATCCGGGCTCTGGGCAGGTCCCTGCAGGGGCAGCAGCTTCCTCTGCACATTTGAGGGGATAAAGCTGCTCTAACCCTGCACTCCAACTACTCCACAGCAATTTAGGACATCTGAGGACAGTTCCCCACTGTTTCCACCCCAGCAGAGACCTGAACACATCCCGTGGGCACTGTGTGACCACCCCTGGCATTAACACCCTGCAGGAATGAAGACACTGACTGTAAAGACACTTGTCTACCTGGAAACCTCCACTTTCTTTGCTACTATACAGCAATAACATTTTCTATTCATATTGCAGCTACAGACTTAACAAATAGAATTGCATATATTGTGCTTTAGAAATTAAAATGCATTCCAAAGTCAGGCAATGCTAAACAATCAAAGTCTTGAACCCTCCCCCTCAAACCAGCCCCACTTTCTGCTTTCAGAACCAGCCCACTTCCTCACTCTCTTCACAAAGGGAGAAATTCTCTCTTTCCACCTCTGAAACAAAAATTCCCTCCCCAAAAGTGATCAGAAAGAGTCTACTTGGGCACTACTGCAAATGGAAGTTGTCTAATAACCATTCCTTCTAACTCAGGAAGAGGAGGAGGAGAAGAAAGTCACAACAAATGTTTGGATTCCTTCCTCTTTGACGTCTTCTCTTCCCTATCTGATGCTCTGGGACATGTGCAGGGGGGTCAGCATCTCTTCAAAGATGGTTCCTTTCACATCAGAGCCCCTCAAATTGGCTTCCTGGAGGTCACAACCTGATAGGTCACAATTCTGAAGGGGAAAAGAAAAAGAAGTGTCAATGGAATGCACCCAGAACTCTGTTCAAAGCTTTACTGGAAGTCCATTTACCTGAACTCCATTGTACTCTGAAGCTGGAGAGGTCAGCCAAAAGCCAGCAATCCCCCAAATTACCAGCTGACAATAGCAGAGAAAGGAATAGGATGGAAAATGAATCCCAACTCACTTCCAAATCGGTTCCTGCCAACGTTGCTCCCCTGAGGTTTCAGTTCTTTACTTTGGCGTTTCTCAGCGTTGCAACTCGGAGGTTCATTCCTGTCATCTGACTGCCCTCCATGGCCACTCCTTTCAGGCTGGCACCTGGAACACACACAGAAAGGAGTTCTGTGAGGAAAACCAGTCAGAAACACAGCAGCTGCACACTGGTGCTGCCTCAGAGCTGTGTGAATTGGAGGAGGACAAGGGGATTTGGGGCTGAGATGGTCACAGACTCAGTGCAGCCCTTGTGGGCCCTTCTCAGGGTTGGACAAACCACAGCTGGACCTTTTCTGGGCCATAGAAATGCACAAACACAGGCTTCAGTTGGCACAGATTCACAAGGCAAAAGCTTCTCACCTTGCAGATTAGCTTGAAGGCCTGATGGGTCCTCAGAGTTGCAGCCTTTCAGGGACGCTCCCTCTGCGTTGGAGCGCAGCATCTTCACCCCTGGCAGGTTGGCACACTGGCACAGACAGGAGTCACTGAGAGACGGAAGAACAACACCAAAGACAATCAAGAAGACACTTTTAATTTCTGCTTTGGGAGTCAATCCCATTAAATCATTACTGGGAGGAAGTGTGAAAGCTTTGGGAACCAGAACAACTCTAGAATATATTTAAGAACTCGATGTTTTACACCGCTCTGTTTGTTCCAGCTCCTCTCTGTTAACACAAGCCCAGCCCTCCCAAGCTGCAGCAGCTCTTCCATCCAGCACAGAGCCTGACAGGTCAGCCCTCTCCAGGCTGGCACAGCACAGGCTGGCACGGGCCAGGTTGCAGCGGCTCAGATTGGCCACCTTGAAGTTGATGCAGCAAAAATCCAGGTGGGAAAGATCCGCTCCACTGAAACTGAGACCCTGGAAATCCCAAGGAATAAACACCCCAAAAAGGTTACACAGGGGAAGGGGTAGGTCTGGACACAAAGTTATCATCATTGTGTAGACAGGTGTGCATTAATATTTACAATGTGTAAATATCTATGTCTAAATATACGGACAGAAATGTATTAAAATATATCCTGTCTATAAATATAGACAGATACAAGATAGATACAGACACACACAGGTCCTGGGAGGAGCTGAAGACACCCCACCAGGGAAGGGGGTTTTTAAAAAGGAGGGAGAGGGACTTTTTCTAAGGGCCTGGAGGGACAGGCCAAGGGGCAATGGTTTTTCAACTGGAAGAGGGCAGGGTTAGATGGGAGACTGGGAAGAAATCCTTCCCTGGAAGGGTGGAGACGGGCAGGGATGCAATTCCCAGAGAAGCTGTGGCTGCCCCTGGATCCCTGCAAGTGTCCAAGGACAGCTTGGATCAACCTGCTCTAGTGGAAGGTGTCCCTGCCCATGGCAGGGGGTGGAATGAGAAGACCTTTAATGTCCCTTCCAACCCAAACCAGTCCATGATTCTATACAGATAAATACACACAAGACCATTTATTATACTACTTCAGACTAATGAAATCTAAATGCAAAGTTGTCAAAAATTGTCCTTGGTTCATTTTATATTTAAACAAATGTAAGGGGGGTACTTTTGAATTAGATGATCAATGGAGCATAGAGGCATGAGAAAGGAATCATATTAGGATGTGAAACCAGCCAGAGTATGGTACAATGTAACTTCATGGCACAAGCTAATTGTAAGGTCCATTGTGCTTTTTAGCAAGTCAGCCTGATATCCCCTATTATCAGAGCTGAGTTCTTCCTTGGTTTTGCTACGTATTGCAAGATAGATACATCTACCCTTGAAACACAATGGTAGAGGTCATACATAGGGGTGAGAAAGATGATGATGGGAGGAAGATTCTGTGGGCAGGGGTCGCTGGCCCCTTGCCCTACAGCAGGGCATGCACAGACTGTTGCTATCAGGTGATGAACAGGCGGGGTTTGGCTGCCACTCAGGCATCACCTTATACTGGGTACTGGCCCTACGTGGTGTAATGTGGAGCTGATAAAATGGGGTGTCAGGACTGCTGGGGTGAGCGATCCTCATCCTGCCATGGAGACTGTGTTGTTCCATGGGGACGCCCGCTAAGCACGGGCACCGACCAGCTGCTGCAGATCCTGGCAGCCCTGGCCTGTCTGTGTGGGTAAGCACAGTTTATTGACAGGAAGCAACTGAGAGAACAAACTTTTTAATGTCCTTTTAGTGTTCCTTTAATTCCCCTTTTATGTTTATGGTATTTTTCCTTTAGTTTCCCTTTTTACTAACCAATATCGTGTTATCCATAATATTGTGTTAAGATCCTTTTTTGGTATCCCTTTTCACTAGTTAATACTGTATTTAATGCTGTTCGTAGTATTTGTTTTAATGCCACCCGATAAGGTAGTTATTTTGTATCCTTTTTAGTTTTTAATTCTTCTTGCTAAGTTTATTACTATTATTATTATTCTCACTGTAATAAAAGGTATTTTGCGTGTTTGAATATTTCTGGCACTTGTCTTTATTCCGGACATGTATCCAAACAAACTGTTACACACACACAGCTTCTACTGAGAAGCTTCTGTCCTGTCAGGGCAGTCAAACTGAACAAACGTGTTTTCTTGCTGCTGAACTTTACAAATGAAAAAAAACAAGTTACTGTTCTATGCCCAAGGTTCTGGATCCTGCCCCATGTATAACTTTAGCAGCTCTCCAGATGGAAGGGGATACCACTGCATTGGTGTTACTAGGAGTGACTTTGTGCATCCCCAGACATGGAGCTGTAGCTCACTAGACAGTGAGCAGCTTACCTGTTTTTCCCCATGCCCAGTTTCCTAAAACTGAGGAAAGAAAAGCAAGTATTTGTTTAGACAGCACCACAAACCAGAGGCTGGATGGATAAAAAAGTAATTTAATAAGCCTCGCTCTCAGGAGATACTTAATAGACAGAAACACTCCTGTAGAGGAGCAGCTAATTCACAGAAGCATCAAAGAACTTCAATCAGACATTCACTCCACAGGGACAAGGCAAGGTTTGCCTTCTCTTCATCTGAGGTGAGGTTAAGCTCTTTAACATGAACAGTGCTGCTCCTCCAAACCTGCTTCAGTGCTTCCAAGTATGACAAAGGAAAGCGCAGCCCGTGAGTCTGCTGGGGAAGAAGAAACAGAAAAAAAATCCTTCAGCTGAGAGCAGTGTCCTTATTGCACAGCAGTGTGTGAGGCTGTGGGGAGGGAGCAGCAGGAATGTGCTCCCTTCCCACATGGCACTGGTGTCACTGAGAGCATTCTCCAGAAGACTCGGTTTTACCCAGGCCTGTTTTATCTTCGTAGGGAAAATGCTGAACTCTATTCCGTGTTCCAGCACGCTTTTTGAGGTGGGGATGTTTACAGCATTTGGCTTTCTCCTGTGGTTTACACATGGAAGAATTAAATAGCCTTAAACTTACACTCTTGCCTAGCCCTACCCATTATTTTTGGAAGCTCACAGAAGTTTATTTCTAGCTGCCACACGCAGTCCTTGGATATAGTTTGACACAAGCACAGAGGAGCTCCATTCCCAGGCCTGGAGTCTTCAAGGGCAAGAAGGAATATTATGGGATCTGCACATGTTGTTCAGGTGCCAGTGTACAGCCTCAGCTCTGGAGGACCAGTGAGATTTACTTCCAAAGAAAAATAAGTGCCAGGCCAAAAGCCTTGCTGTAATTACCGAGACAAGGACAGACTGTGCCCTGTTTTGCCATTCGAGTGTTTCGGATCACAGAGCTAAGACACAGCATCTCACTGCCAAAAAAGCAGAAATAAAGGTTCCAAAGCTCAAAGCCATGCTTAGGAAGGATTCATGACCCAGCAAAAGCACACTGTACCTGCGAGCAGGAACAGAGACAACCTGAAAAGTACATTTCAGAACAAGGTAGGTCTTTACTCACAGTGCTGACCCACCCTACCCTAAAATGAACACCCCTGCAGTGTGTTCCATTGGATACAGAATCTAACACGGGTTTAGCATGGCAGTGATCCCTAGGGAATATCTGCTGGCCTATCCAGTAGCCTCAGTAGAGGATGTGCTAAGGACACACCAGTAAGAGCTGGTTTTAGTTGCTCCAGTAGCTTTGCTCACTGGGCCATAAGGCATGCACCAGAAATCCTGTTAACATCTCGAGTGTTTAATTAAGCATGAGATCACATTGCTCAGTTCCACTGTTGAACTGCCTCTGTGGTGCAGCCTCAGCTCCTCTGGGCACTGCAGGGCTGGGCAGAAAGGCTCTGGGTGCTGAGGATCACGGCAGAACCCAGGCCCTGCTGCCATTCTGGGCAAGCTCATCTCATGCAGCAAAACCCACCATGGAAAGATAAGTTTTGGGGTGTCTGCAGGAACAAACCTGGGCCGTGCCATCCTCACTGGCAGTGTCATCTGTCCCCATCATGGGAGTGTCTCTCCTGTTCCTTAAGGAATGATACACATAAACCATCTCCCTGCGGATTTCATCCTAAAAGACAGCAGGGAGGAAACAGTTACATGTGATCCACAGCCTCAGACTCATCTCACTGCACTTGCCAATGCTCCTGAATTCTGGAGTCACTCTTACAAGAAAGCCTGCAAGTCACCCTCCCAAATGAATTGTCCAAAGGCCACCTCCGACAGCAATAAGGGACTCTCCAAAACACCTCTGAAAATTTATTTACAATCATCTGCTGCCTTAAAACTGCCCCTGCTAGAGTCCCAGGAGTGATGCTGTACAGAAAACAGGCCATTTAAGGGAAAGTATTAATGAACAGGTGTGCATCAACACATTTCCAGTCTGATACTGATCTGTTTCTTAAAAATCACATGCCCATCATCAGTCCTTGGTCAGAGCTGTGCAAAGCAATTCAGAGCTCTCTGGGCAGGTTGCACATGGAATTTGTGGACACAGGTCTTCCATGTGTCCTGTCATCCTGGGTTGATCTGTGTGACATCAGAAGGCAAGGTGGCCCAAAAACTGGGGGGAAAAAGTCTCCAAACCCTACACAGTCTCAATACGGACACAAGCAAGATGGAGGAAAAAATCAGAAAGTTATGGTGTGTTTTTCTTGGGAAACATTCAATTCCTCCAAACAAACCCCAAACTGTACAAGATAATCTTTGCTGTGTGTCCCACCCCCTTCTTTTTTTTTTTTTTAAAGTGAGATAAAAAGCACTTCTACAATTTCATACTAAAAAACCTTCATGGATAAGAAGCAGTATAAACACAGCATAATGCAAGATGCATGGATCAATGTTGTGGAACAACTTAGTAGTGCCCCTGGCACCTGCTTGGATACAGAGATAACCCAGAAGTGAAAACTAAATGCAGCCACAGCAGCAGCTGCAACCAGCAGAATTCCCCCTCTTGAGAAAACCTATTTTTATAAATTATTCCTGTTCTTAAATACAAAGAATAGAAAAAACCCCTATTATCAAGACCTGTAGAGGCCATTTAGCTGCTGTAATGATCTACCCCATCAAACCTGAGACAAAAGCCATGTACCTCTCATACAGAATCATAGGCTGAATTTAGTTTTGAAGCCTCCCCTCCAGGAGGTTGGAATGTGCCATATCACTCAACAAACAACCCCACAGTATCCTAACAAACCCTAATGGGATGCAGGATCCAGCTCAGTGTAACTGCATGACCCTTATAGACCTTTTGCACAGGAGAGCAACAACTCCCATGCCTCACATGCACTCCCCAGCCCACCCCAAATGTACAGGGGTGGCTTCACTGTACCCACAGCATTCTCTTGATCTGGTTCCACGGAGATGAGAGTGTGATCTCTGAACTGCAGTCTGATTTTGCTGTCTATTTTTGGCACTTTCCCACCTAAGAAAAATAAATCCTCCTTCGAAAGGAAGAAAACCAGACAAACGGTTAAACTGAGCCCCCCTCTGCTCTCCCCACTCTCTCAAGGCTGGACTGTTTGTTAAGCTATGTTTCAACACCCACATGTCCTCCAACTTGTTGTGGAGGGGGCAAGGAGAAAGAGATTTTTTAATTCTCTCACTTTTCCTGTCTGCAAATAACTATAATAAATAGCAAGCTAGAGCCCAGGGCAAACTGCTACCAGTTAAATGCTCTCGGGATACAGTTTATCACAGCTGCCAGTTCCAGCCTAGGATAATCTTTATTCCACTCTAAGGCAGTGTCATCTCTCCCACCAGACACGGGGAGCAAACACACACGTGGGGCCTCACGGCACATGAAGCTGATGCTGGACTGTGATCTGGCAGAGTTCAGGCACACGGTGTGACTCTTGGGGTCGGTGCTGTGCCGGGCAAAGGCTCGGACTCGACGCTCCTCGTGGGTCCCTTCCACCTCAGCCTGTTCTGTGACGGTGCGATGAGTTCCCTCTCTTCCAACACTTTTGTTCTTTTTAGGGCTCCTCGCTGCCCGGGGCCCGGAGCCCGCCTCCCGCGCGCCTGCTTCCCTGCCCGTTTTGGCGGCCGCAGCCGGGCGCTGAGTGCCCGCTCCCCGG